CCAGCATCCCACAACCCTGAGGATGGGATGACCAAGCAGTGGCCATCGTCCGGCCATGGCAGGGAGGAGGAGGGGCCACAGGGATTTCCCCTCTGCCGGCCCCTGGTTTCCTTTCCCTGCGTCTCCTCAGCTGGCAGGAGAAGCTTTCTACCTCCTGTAAAGTTTGATTCCCGGAGGCAGATCTTTTAAAAAAACCCAGCAAGTGTCAGATCATTGGGAGGGTGGAGTAACGCTGTAAGCCACGACACACCTTTGTCAGGACTTGTTTGGAAGCACGGAGCTGAAAGAAACAAGGTGGAGAGAAGGAGCAGTAAACATTTTTGGAAGATCACTCAGCTTTAACACGCCTTGGCTAGGTCTGGATAAAAAAGTGGGCACTGCAAATTTCTGGAAGAAAACGTCAGAAGAAGAAGTTGCTTCCAGCTCCTCAAAGTCTCAAGCCAGGTAAGTAACAGGAAAGCTGACCTTTCTCCCTTTTCCTGAGACTTTGGTTTAAGGCTCGCTGCTTAGAAAGAAAACGTCTAGAGAAAAGGTGAAGTTCTTAAGTTTCCAGTGCCCTCATTGCAGTAATTAACTGGCCATAAATGATGACTCTGGTGTGTGCATTCTGCTCAGGGTTGGTCTTTTAGAGGAGACAGTAAGATCCAAGGGCGAGGAGGAGGGGAAGACCAGTTAGGAGGTGCTGGCTCCAGTGGCAGGGTTCTTCTGTTCTGTTTTCAGTACTGCACAGCAACTTGTGTCAAGTTGTTTTATTTAGAATATGATAAGAGCTTATAATTGCTTTTCTCTCAACCTCAGTTTCCTCTCTTGCTGTCTCTCTCTGCCAGACAGAACAGCTCGTAGGTGAAGTTCAGGTGTAGGTAAGATGGACCTTCTAGAAGCGACCTCTATGTGCCATGGACTCTTGGGTTAAGCTCTCAGGGGGGTGGGCAAACACTGGCGTTTATCATGCTGAGAAGTTGCTACTGTCCCTCTCTAAAGTAAAGTGTGATCTTTGACATGATCTAATTAATCCAGGAATTTACTAGAGTCTAATTTGGAGGAAGGAAATAAAAGAAGTTTTTTCTGTGTACATAGTGGCCAAGTTGGGTTCCCCTAAAAAAAAAAAATCACCTTGAAGTGAGAATTACCAGTTTAGTAAGTCACTTTTAACTGACAAAGTCTCACTTTACTTTTTGAAGTAATTTTTGAGAAGCAGTCGATTGGTAGCCTAATAGTTGGATTTCTTATGTCCATAAAAGGCAGTAAGGTTTTTAAAAAGGTAGGCGCTAGAAAAGCAGAATTGTTTCTTTTCCCCTCCGTATGTGCTCTACAGAGCTAAGACACAGTTAGCTCTAAGGTAGAACCAACCTAAAACAGCCAGCCAGCTCCTGACAGTCGCCCTTGGAGAACTGGGGGGCTTAAAACAGCTGTGTGGATCTGACCGGCGTGTGCATGGGACAGTGAGCAGCCCTGCCTCACCCTTGCAGAGACACCCCTTAGGCCAGTGGGACCGACAGACCTCAGAACTAGCCAGGGTCTGGGGTTATGACAGACCAAAGGAAGCCTGAGTTTCCATCGCCTGTTCCCCTGACATTGCCGAAGGCAGCAGGACGCAACGGTAGGCAGCCGGCATGATCGCCAAGCTGGTGTCCTGGCCCGCCACTCCAGGCATGAAAATCGAGTTTGCCATGTGCGAGTGGCAAACCTGTCTCAGGGTGTTACAGATACAAGGTCTCTGAGACGGTCAACCCCTGGCACTGGCTTTTCCACTGTGGGGTGCTGGGTCCTTCTGTGCTGTCAGGTCAATACCCAGGGCATGGTTTCCTCATACTTAAGCAATTTTGTTGTTTTGTTATAAGCTTTAAGGCCCACAGAGATTGAAGTCATAGGAGCTGTAAAAATACTGGCGATTTCTTAGCAGAATATTGGAAAATTTGCTCCTCAAATGAAAAGTAGAGAGGAAGGCACTTAGGTTTTCATCCTCTTCATTGTATCAAAAACGTAGTGTTGCGTGTGTCACTAGAGTCGGGGAAGGTCGATGATGTTCACGATCGCTGATGGAGGCTTGCCCTTGCGTGTGTGCGTGTGTGTGCGTGTGTGTGTGTGTGTGTGTGTGTGTGTGTGTGTGTCTGTGTGTGTGTGTGTGTCTGTGTGCGTGTGTGTGTGTGTGTGTGTGTGTGTGTGTGTGGGTGTGTGTGTGTCTGTGTGTGACCACATCGTTGTCTGAATAGTTTGGGTGGACGTGGCATCATCTAAATAAAATGGAAAGGAAAAAAGGACTCACAAAAGTGGAAAATGATTTCAAATTGTGTCTTCTTGCTTAAGAAAACGACACCTTCAAAAGAGCACCTCCTCTGAAACGACCCTAAAGCAGCCCTTGAGGCTCTGGGGGGACATTGGTCTGGTTTCGGAATTGAGAACTGGAACGTCTGCTCACCCTTCGTTGTGGTGAGGTGGCCCTAACATCCGAGAAGTTAGAAATTATGCTGTTGACGGTGCTTCCATTAAGTAGGGCTTTGGGGAGACGACGGTGTGAGTTCGGCTGGCGGAGGCAGGCTCAGGCACGCACCTGGGCAGGAAACTTTTCTTTCCCTCACGGTATACTTTTAAAGGCCATCAGCACTTCGAATGTCGGAAAAAGAAGCCCTGTGAGAAAACTCTAGCTCCCACGGGAGGAGTCCAGTTCGGGTTTGGGCCTCAACTCAGCCTTCTCGGTTAAATAATTCGCTTATAGAAAGGAATCCATCTCCCAAGGCTTCCTGCCACCTCAGGCCATCCGTCTGGCAGAGGAGTCTTAATGGCGTGGACACATAGCCCCTCGCGTGGCCTCAGGCAGAGAGAGGCATCAACCGCGCTACTTGGAACAGGGGCAATCACAGGGTTCCTTCCACCGAAGAGCTCCAGGCTCTGGAGGGAGGCACCTAGCTTCTGAGCAGGTCGTCGCGTTGTGCCCTCTGGATGGCAAGAAAATTTTGGCTATTCACTGCAGAAATCAAGGCTTGTCACTGGGATCCAGGGGAAAGGTGGAGGGTCTAGGAACACCTGTTATCTTTCGAGACACAGAAGGAACAAGCAAAACTTGCCAGATTTGCTGCCTGGAGGCTGGACTTTGAGCAAATGGAGCCATCATCCATCGGCCTGAGGGCCATGAGCAAACCTAGCCAGTCCCGAATGTGTACAGACATGTATATGTAAGTGTACACCTGCCAGCAGCAACTCTCGCTCCAAGATCAAAATCAGCCATGACCTGTGGGAAGTAGAAGTTCCCGTGGATCATTATGACCCGTTCAGTTCAGGATAATATTTCATGTCAGTTCAGGCACCATCCTTGAGAGCCAGTCCCCTCCCCACCACAGTCAGGGGTGGGGTTCACTGTCCCCAGACACCTCCTGGTCCACAGATAACAACCAACCTTTTGAAAGGCTGAGAGGGGCTTCGGTGACACCTTGCTTAAACACAGGCTTTCGGAGACAGTGTCCGGTCACACGTGACTGTGCAGGATGTCAGTCATGCCACTTACAGCTGGAACGCAGTGACAGGCCAGGCCTGTCTTCCTGATGAGGCTGAACTTCTTTGTCAAACCATCTACAGAGCCCAGCACACCTACTAGGACATTCTGCAGCGTCTCAGATTCAGCTAGAATTTTCTCCACTATGCTTCCTTGCCTAGAGCTGCGTTTAAGAAACACCAGTGCGTGAGAAGTTGGCCGTTGCCAGGCCCTGAAGCTGTCCCCCGGTCTCACCGGTCTTGGTTCTCTGCGAGAAGTCACGGGGCCACATGGGACTTCTGTGGCCTTAGAGACTTGTGCCTTTGCGAGTCCCTTCCTCCACAACAAAAGTTTTAAAAGTTGCATTTCACAACTGCCTTGGCATAAAGAAGAATAGCCTCCAGGTTAGACTATGTTCACGTTTCCCCCTGGTTTTAAAAGAAGTCGAGACATGTCTGTGGGCCCCAGAAGTGCTGTGGGCCGAGGCGCAGACCCACCGGTCGAGCCTGGAGGCACCAAGCGAGAGAGCCCTTCAGGCAAGGGGCCCCGGCAGGAGTGGCCTGCCTCCGCGTCCTGGAACCCAGTTTGAGCCGAAACCGAAAGGCAAACCAGGAGGAAGAGAAAGCTGGGGGAGCGGCGGGAGTTGCGGGAGAGCCAGAGCTCAAGTCCTTGGGAGCCTGGTGGCGCCGGTTGGGGTGGGATCCCCGCTGTCCTTCCCACACTTGAGGTGGAGCCCCGCTCCCCACTCCTGGCTCAGCCCGGTCTCGCGACTGTCTGTGGGACACAAGCACACTGCAATGGTCCTTTTCAGAAGCGGAGTAAGAGTGGGGGGGAGCAGACATGACGTCCACGTGTCATTGAGGGGGTCTCGGTTGCTTCAACTCTTGTCCCTGCCGCGTCCGCACATAGGCGCCGGGGAGCGGGCTTGTCCCAGAGAGACAGTTCCACGCTCTGAGAAGGGTAAAGTCCACACCCGCAGGGCAAATGTGATGGCTTCCGTCCTGGTTCAATCCACCAAGTGCCATTCTCACACCCGACTCCAAGCAAGAGGCACGGCTGTCTTGCGCGCACGCTGAGCGCTCCACGCAGAGCACTGACCATCACGGGGTGCAAAAAACGCGTCCATTCGCAGCCCTGAGCACCTCGACAGAGTCCCTCCAGCTGTAGATCATCATGACAGGGAGTGGGGTTTCCTAGTCACACAGACATCAGGGCACCCATCGCTCCATGGCCCCTCGAGACTCAGCAGAGGGTGGTCTGATCTGTCAGATGCTGAAAAGATCCCAGCATGGAGACATGCATCCAAAGTGGAACTATTAAATTACTCTCTGCTACACCTGATGACAGGAAATGGGAACGATTCTTGTAAAAAAAAAAAAAAAAAAAAGGCATGTGAAAGAATTATGCTTTGAATTCTTGGGGTCAAGTTTCTGGTTCTCAGCTTGAGCAGGGGAGCCCTAGACTTGCTAAGTGCAACGGTGAGAGACGTGACTGTTCATGGTTTCTGGTTCTTCCTGCAGGTGGCTATGGTATGGATGCAACCAAGAAGACCAAGCGAGATGGCGCCGAGGTCACCGAAAGAAGTAAGTGCGTCCCATATTTCTTATTTATAACCATTTCACTAGGAGAGTCATAAAAATCTGGGGGCAGGAAATATAATCTGCTCATGACTCCACCACATGTTTGAATGCGTTGCCACGTTTACACGAGTTCCACTTGGACTTCGTGCCTTCCCAAAAGACAGCTCTTGCTGGCCTTAATGCTAGCATGTGTCACTGAAATGTGTCCTGCCTTTTCTTCAAAGAGGAAAGTTGTCATTTATGTGTGTAGTTTTCAGAATCAACATCTTATTTTATGTTTAGAAAGCAGGATTTATTGAGAGGACAGAAGAGCTCCCACAGTGGGAGGGGACCCGAAGGGGTTGACCCTGGATCAGCATTTTAAGCAATGGCATAATGGGCTGTGGAACAGACCCGCCACCGTTTATTTAGCCATTGCCCTACTTAGGGATGCAGGGCGACGTACATCGAAAGGGATAATATCTCAGTCATGGCAAAGACAAAGTTGACAAAAGACTAACATCACAGTGGAAATCTACACTGAAAATTAAAAACAGATATGCTTATTTTGTGAAACTGCCCGAAGGATACATTCAGAGACATTCAGAGTGGGAATCCCCCGGCCACTCTAAGTTAGGACATTTTTTCACTTAATCTGTGACTCTCATGTGCCTCAAATCAAAAACATCCTGGCTCCTCAGACTTGGAATTTTTGGTCAGGAAAGGATTTGGTTCTGTGTCAAAGGCAGACACGGTGAGGCAGGGGGGAAGCTCGAGGACCGCCACCCGAACCGAGCTGCCACCTGACTCTAAAAAGCCGCCCCTGTTTGGGGCATTGGGTGCTCTGCTCCTGGCCCCACGTTCCTGCTGGGACAACCAGGACAGTCGGGAAAGCGCAGCGTGAAGGAGGCGGCCAGCGGGCATCGCGTTGAGGGAGCAGGCACCGGCTGCACAACTGAGTGGACAGAGACAACCCTGCTCTGTTTCCCCTGTCTTGGCTCCTTTCGGCCCCTCCACATGTGTGTGCACATGCATGCCACACACATGTACATGTGCACACACACATGCCACACACATCACACGCATGCGTGCATTCACACACCATGTACGTGCATGTTAAACACATGCGCACACGCGCATGCACGCACATGCCATGTACATGCATTACAGAGGCGCACAATGCACACGCACGCACAGGCACCATGCATACACACATGTGCACACACATGCAACATGCACACGGGAAGTCTGGTTTACAGACAGGAGGCTCCCTCCAGGCAGGTGCTCCTGCCACCCATCAGAGGGGAGTGAGTGGAGACGGGCACCGGGGAGCACAGTGTGGGCCTGCCGTGGTTTCGGGACCCTGGCCCTCCCCGTGCTCAGGGAGGAAGAGGACTTTCTCCTAACCGGCGTCCTAAGACACCTGCAGCCTCTGTTGGCTCCACATCCTGGGTCTAGAGGAGCTCCACGCTGGGAGGAAAGGGACTTGCTCTTTGCGTCTGTCTCTGATGGTCACCGACTTCCGACCTCACTGAGCTCTGCGTGGGGCCCACCCAGACCCCTTCCCGCCCTCCCTCCCACACTCAGGGCTGGCCCTGGGGATGTCAGGATGAACCGGAAGGTCCCCGAGACCCCTCCCCATTTTCAAAGAGGTACGCAGCAGAGCCGGCCAGGGTGCTGGTCCCAGCTGGATTGAGAGGCCCTGGGAAGCAGCAGGGAGGCAGGGTGGCTTGAGACGCGGCAGCCTGGTCCCCCCCCAGCCTCAGGCCCGCCTCTTCCCTCACCTCCCCGCACGCAGGGCTGACTCTGGAGACGTTAGAATGACTCGTAAGGTCCTTGATCCAGTCCTGGCCCGGCTCTGACTGCCTGATGAGAGACGTCCGCACCGAGACAGCGCATGTTTCAAGTCAGCAGGCAACTTCCTCGTCTCCCAGGAGACATAAGCGTGCTTCCAGTGCATTAAGTCCCATCACTGCTGCTCATGTCTGCATTGCAGGCCACATTCCACCAAGCACAAGTGCGCCAAAACCAACTGACCTTGCCAAAACACAGAGGTCAGGGCGTTATACAGGATCTCATCTTTTCTTTCTCTTTTTCTAGTTATCACCGAAACGGTAATGACAAGACTGACGTCCTTGCCACCGAGTAAGTGACGGCCTCGATAGTCCCTTCCAACAGGTCACGTGTGAGGGACCCCACACCCACGTTTTCTGCGGAGGCTCGCTTTCCTGCAGGGCAAATCTGACGTATTGGAAGTCTTTTCTTAACAGCTGTACTGATAATTTAGAAACAACAAAATTCACCCGTGTAGAGTGCATGAGGCAGCAATTGTTAGCATATTTACTGATGTACACAGCCACTGCTATAGTCTAATTGTAGAACCATGACTCCCCAAAAGGAAACCTTGTGACCACAGGCAGTCACGCCCCACTCGCCCCTCCCGCAGCCCCCAGACACACACACCTACTGTCTGCCTCTAGATTTGCCTATTCTGGGCACTAAACTATTGGGAATCTACTCCCGCCTGAGCGTGGAGGTGGGAGGGAGCCATCAGCCAAGCTCTGGCCAAGTCACTTTTCTCTAGGAACTCTTTAGTGGATTCTGTCATTGTGGCCCAAGCTCTAAAGCTCCCCTTGCACCTCCAGGCTGCCTGGATCGCTGGGGATGGGGGGAGCCCACCCATCAACAGACCAGGTCAGAGCAGGGACAGTGGCCAGGGGACCACCAGCAGCATGGAGCTGTCACACGCCCCTCAGCACTTCCATGACTGCCATGTCTGGACAAGGACTGAGCCCTTGAAAACAGTGAGCCCAATCCAGTCCTGGACTCGGGAGCTTTCACCACCCACTGTCTTGTCTAATATTTAAACTTTCCTAACATGCAACCCACTCTGCTCCACCCAAGAGACTTTCCTGTCAAGCCAGGCGGAATACTCCGGAATATTCACTCCAGACATTAGTATCGAAAGATGATAAAACTGGAGTGTGAACACTTGTGCCTTGCAACGTAGCAGAGAAAGGGCCCTCCAACTAAGAAGGTCTTGGGGAGAAGCCAGGGAAGCCTTCCAGGGGCAGGGGACAAGGGCACCTGCTGGCCTGACCCTCACTGAAACCGCCTCCTGCTTTTGTCCCCGGCAGAAGGGGGCACCAGCAATGGCTACACAAAATCAGGCTCTGTCGGAGGAGGGAGCCGGCTGGAGAAGCAGAGCCTGACTCACGGCAGCAGCAGCAGCGGCTACATCAACTCGAGTGAGTGCCCGGGGCAGGGGTGGGATGGAGAGAGGAGCCGGGGAAGTCCCTGATCGGTGCAGGAGGGGGACTTCACAATGGCTTGTCCTCCACTCCCCGTAAATGACACTCAGCCAGGGAGGGAGCGATCGGAAGTCACCAGCGCTTGAAGCTTACTTGCCACGAGATGGTTCTCAGAGTCCCCCACACAAAGAAGTATCGTTAATTAAGAAGGCTTCATGGCAGGCGGGTATTCCCTGCTGAGGGTTTACAGTCTGAATGAACAACAACAACAAAAGAGACTTCACACTGGGATTGCCCTGCTGGGGAAGCTGGTGACCCCACACTGTGCAGGATTCCACCTGGCCTGCGTCTGAGGGCCTCTCGGCCTCTCGAACTAAAAGCAAAGCCAAGCGGGCGAAACAAAACAAGAAACACACACAAAGCCTCAAAGCCATTTCAAGACCTTGAGGCGAAACAAGAAGGGAAGACCCAAGGTCCCGAGAGTGGCTGGGCTGGGCGAGAGAAGTCCCCGCCCTCACTGTGGAGGGACACGTCCACCCCAGACCCCGGTCCAGCAGAGCTCATTTACGACAGTCTTCAGGACAGCCCTTGAGCTCTGTCCCCGTCCAGGCTGTGACTACACCGAAAGGCGGTCTGCTCGGAGGGCAGTGGCGCCCGCAGAGGGCCACTTCGGCCGGCTCTCCCGTCAGGCCCGGGCCCTCCTGGGGGTCTCCCAGAGTGTGCTCGGCCCCGCCCCCGGGCTCTATGACCCTCGGCTCTGCTGCAGCACTGAGGGCACCCGCCTTTCCCCACTCCAGGCGGAAGCATGCGCGGGGGTGCCTCCACGTCCAGCTACAGAAGGGCGCACTCTCCCGCCTCCACGCTGCCCCCCTCGCCAGGCTCGACCTTCGACAGGAGGACCCTCGGTACCCGCCACGGCGCCTACGAAGGTACCCATCCCACACAGCGCAGAGAGCTCGTCCCTTCCCCGAGTCAGTCCCGTCCTTCACGATTCGGGAGGGGCGACCCTGGTCTGCCCCCCATCGCCCCGCCCTCCATTTCCTTTGGAGACTTCCGTTAGGCAAAGGTCTCGTTCCTTCCTTCTTCCATCGTGTCACGTTTTCAACCAGCATTTTACCAAACACCTGCTGTGTATCTGACCCTGTGGGGGATGCCTTGATGGATGCTTAAATGAATCCGACATGGCTCTTGTCCTCAAGGAGCCCTTCCACAAGCCAAGAGGGCAGGCATAGACTATAACGCAACACAGACAAGGGCTGTCAGCAACTGAGGAACTCAAGGAAGACTGTGGAGGGGGTGACGTCTGAGCTGGGCCTTCCTGAGGGGTCAGGCTTTGATACCCAGGCAGAAGGGACAGTCCAGGCTGTGGGGGCAGCCGCCAAGACAGGCGGGCAAGTCCAGGGCATGGTGGGCAGCGCAAAGAGGGCTTGAGGGACTGGGGTCTGTGCCAGGACACAATGTTTAGATGTCGTCCACACACACCACTGGAGGCCACAGAGATTTCTGAGCGAAACAGACATCGTACTTGGGAAGCCATGTGCAGAGAGACTTGGTGAGCGAGACTAAACACAGTGGTGCTTAAGGGGACATCCTCAAGCCAAGGGGACAGCTAAGGGGACACGCTCAGTCGTCCACTGGGGGACATTGTGGCTGGCCAGGTTGGCCTCAGCAGAGGGGAGGAGTGGGAGGGCAGGACCCCGGGGGGCAAGGTCAGCTCTTGATTAAATGCAAGGAGGGAGGAGTCGCACATCCCTGAGGTGGATGGTGGTGCCAGCAACTGAGACAGGGGACCCAGGAGGACGCCCGCAGAGGTGTCAGTTATTCTTCCTGAAACAGAGCTGCACACACAGCTCTCGGTGGGGGTGGCTGGCAGTGGGGGACACAGGACGCAGGGTGGGGAAGAAGTGAAGGCCCAGACACCCAGTGGGGCAGCTACGAGGAGATGCCAGAGGGTCGTGAGACTGAGGGGTCTGCCAAGGAAGAGAGCAGAAGCAGGAGGGACCGGGAGGACAGAGCAGGGGATGGCAGGAGGGGACCCCCAAGGACAGAGACGGACGGGCTCTGGGGAGGGTGGCCAGGAGTGTCAGCGCCTTGAAGTCAGCGTGGAACGTTCTCAGAGCAGAGGGGCGTCGAGGAGGAAGGCACTCCGGCTCCACGACTCAGGCTCTGGAGTCCCTGGCGTCCGCCGGGCAGTGCTAGTGGGCAACCGACAAGTCAGAGGGCCACAGGGCTTGGTGACGGGTGCAGACAGGGCCGGAGAAGCGGGGGTGGGGCCCGGACACCAGTGTGATGAGGGCGAGTGTGAGCCGGCAGCCCCACCGCTGGACGGGAGCTGCCTGGGCATAGGGAGCCTGGATGGGCCGGCGGGGGGGGCGCTGCACTAGCAGGTGCCTTCCAGACCAGGCGGAGCGGGAGCTGGGGGCTTTGTTTTCAAACAGCCTGCGCCAGGGACCCGCCTTCGGGTTGGGGGGCCCTGGGCCTGACGCAGGAGACCGCTCAGGGCAGGTGGTCTGCTCGGGCTCCGGCATGGGGCCAGCCCGGTCGAGGAGGTGGGAAAAGGAGAGAGAAGCGGGAGCCCGCTGCGCCCTCTGTCCACAGCCTGCCCTGAGCAGGTCCGGGCCAGGACGTGGCGCAGCAGGCAGGCCAGGCGCGTCACGTCCCGAGCTCACACGCGTGTCTGCCGAGGGGCACGTCTCCTTCCCTCCTGAAACCGAAGGCTGTGGAGGTTCAGAAAGTTGTGACTGGGCGCAACCCACGCTCTTGGGAGCTCCGTGGGCCTCCGCGGCCGCCTGTCCCCAGTGTTTTCTCCCCTCTCCAGGGAGCTCCAGCGGCAACTCTTCTCCGGAGTACCCCCGGAAGGAATTTGGTACGTCGCTCCCTGTTTCTAAAGACAAGCCCGAACGAGGCACTGGGAAAGGCCGGGGGAGGCAGGCGGCGGGGGCAGCAGCGTCACGAGTCGGACGGGTTCTCCTGGCAGATCCCCCCTCTGCCAACCTGTGCTCTGCTTCCCTCTCCTGGGGGGCCTTAAGCAGACCACCAGCTGCGTTCGCTGGCTGTCACAAGCCCTTGCTCTGGGCACCACGGAAGGGCAGCCGTTCAGGCCAGGTCCGGGCTTGACCAGGTAACCCCGGAGGCCAAGCAGCGAAAGTGGGCTTCTGCCCTCCACGGCACACGGAGCCCTCCCGTAGAACACACGGATGCCTCGTGTCGCGGCACCGCCACTGTCAAGCGCCTGCCCAGAGGCCCCAGGCTGTGTCTTTGGTCCGCGGCCTCGGAACCCCACTGTGCATGTGATCGTTGAGGGCACAGCGATTACAATGCCATTCACGTGCCTACGAGGGGGAAACCAAAGCCGTCTCTAACAAAACACTGCAGAGAAGATGTGGCAGCCTTTTGACCCGTCCCACCAGGGCCGTCAGTCAGTCCGATGGGTTATGCTCCCGAGCGGGTTACCTCGGCTCACTCGGCGCTCCAAGCGTTCGCCATCTTGACGCTCGCTCAGCTGGCCTGACACTGCCAAGGCCCCTGCCCTTCAGCTGAGCAGCCATCGTTTATTAAGCATCCACTCCACAGAGAAGCCCCGTCTGGATTTAGACGCACGACGGCACTGACCCCTCCCGCCACGTGTCTGCCTCCATGTCAAAAACATCCAGCAGGCCACCTCTCCTACATGCCTCAGACAGCCTTTCTTTGTTTCTCAGCATCATCTTTGACCAGAGGGCGGAGCCAAACGCGAGGTGAGTGCTCCCCGGGGCTCAGTCCCGCTCTTTCAGCCGATGTTTTCTGAGCCGCTGACGAGTGTCCGTCCCTGGACCCGGGCGTGGAGGAGCTCCGAGGAGTGAAGACGGCACGCTTTCTGCCCTCCAAGTGTGGCGTGATCCTGGGACTCTTGGCTGGCTCTCTCGGGACGGGAGGGCAGTTAGGGGCCGAGACCCAACCGGCCACAGAGGTGGGAGCAAGAGGGGGTGAGCAGGCCTAGACTGTGCTTCTGGGGATCCCTGAAGGTGCAGGCGCCCCCCCAGGGGCTCGCTTCCAGTCCCCGGGCCGACCACACAGGACGTGCTTTACCTGGCTTTGCGCGCCAGAAAGAAACAAGAGCCCCTTTCCCAATGCTTCCCGGGGACAAAGGGCTCTGTGACAGCTGGCAGTCCCCTCCTGGGGACAAAGATATGGGAGGGAACCGTGGTCCTGGGAGAAGCTGCCCTGACCAGCTGTGGGTGGCGGGGTGTCGGGCTGGGCTGGAGGCGGAATTTTCGCGGGCTCAGCAGGCCCCGACTCCACACCTGGGCTCCCACGGCCGCATCGACTCGGGAACTCGAGTGGAGCGTCCCGGGCCCACCAGCTCGGGCAGCTGTCGACAAACACCAAAGCTCCTCCTGAAGCCAGCTGTTCATGCTGTCTCCCACTCCCCGCCCTGCCCACTTTCGCAAAGGGCTTTAGAGCCCTCCTGCACCACCCAAGACCACAGAGGCTGGAGAGAAGCCAGGCTGGCCGCGCATGAACGAATGGCGGGAAAGGGGCTGGCGGTTGCAGGTGGGGCGGAAACCTGGCTCCGCTGGGATTCATGAGACCATCTCCAGCAGCCAGGAGGCGCGCAGCCGGCAGGCTGGGGTGCGGGGGCCTCCCGTTCTAAGCAGCACTCTCCGCGGGCACCGCAAGGCCTCCTGTGCCCGGGACTCACAGATCTCTGAGCAGCCGAAGAGCGTCCACTCAGGCCTCCACGTCCAGGACCGGGATCCAGCTCCCCACTCACAGCCTTCTCCCTCTCTCCCGCACAGAGAGCGAGATCCGCGTTCGACTGCAGAGTGCGTCCCCATCCACCCGATGTAAGTGGTCACAGACTTGCTGAAACGAAGGGATCTGGGAATCCAGGGTGTCATGCGTGCGTGCACATGTGTGAGGGTGTGCACGCACTCCATCATGAAGCGCCTTCAAGGGCCTTCTGGGCACTGAGCCCTGGGTGCCCCGTTGAGTGCTGAGGAAGCCGTGGTCCCGGCTGCTTAGTGCCTCACAGACTAGCGGGGTGACAGGAGGTCAGCCCGAGCTGCCCCGGTGTGGAGGGGCGGCTCTGCAGCGGTCCATGGGTCGGCGCCACGGAGGCCTTCCTGGGTGAGGCGTGATGTGAGATGGAGTGGAGGGAGGGGGTCCGTTCCACTGAGGGGCTGAGCCAGCACAAGCCCGGAGGAAGAGTTCACAGCAGGCACACACAGGATGCCAAGACTAGAGAGGGTTCGCAGCAGGAGGGAGCAGAGCTGGAGCGCTGTGTCAGAGATCAGAGCCGCACGCTCTGGTCCCTGCTGTGGAATGCGTCGGTCCCTGGCGTGCCCGTCATGGGCTGTCCGACAACACTGACACACACTCAGCCTGCGGGCAGGAGTCAAGTACAAGGCGTGCGAGAAGAACAAGCGGGGCTGGCAACTCAGGGAGGAGCAGGGGCTGCCCAGAAGGCTGGGCGTGGGCTCGCCTCCAGGTCAGATCAGGCCATGGGGGCACTGGGAGGTCCCGGCAGGTGGACACGCGCTTCTGCGTGCCCTCCCCTGCCACGCCTCCTCTCTCCCCTTCTCACTGGGCACAGGGAGCTCTCGCCACGGGGTGCCTCACAGCGGATCCCCTGGCTGCCGGAGGGACGGGGTGCGGGGTCACGTGTGGACGCGCTTCATGTGCGGTACTGACAGTCCCAGGCAGGCAAAGTCAGGGACCCGCTTCCCACGCATCCCGTCCGGGGCTGAGACTCCTGTCAGACCAGTTGTTTCCAGGGACCTGTGCTCTAGCGAGCTGATCCCGAGGACAGTGTCTGCCGCCCGGCTCATCCCCGTGGCGTCTGCTGAGGTCTGATCAGGAAGCATCTCCGAGGGCTTCGGCCCCCTGGTGAGAGTCCTGGTGTTCATGAGGTCGCTGCCAGAACCAAGTGCCAGGCCGCTGTGTGCTGTACCCTGGCAGAACGCAAGCATTGCAGGGCCAGCCCAGAGTGTCCCAAGGTGTGCAGCAGATGCTGCTCTTCCTAGTAGGCAGAATGCCACCCACGGTCCCCTGGCTGCAGAGGGACTCCGGACAGGCCTGGGACTGACGGAGGCGTGGGGGCTCTTCTCAGGGACAGAGCTGGATGACGTGAAGCGGCTGCTCAAGGGGAGCCGGTCGGCCAGCGTGAGCCCCACCCGGAATTCCTCCAGCACGCTCCCCATCCCCAAGAAGGGATCCGTGGAGACCAGAACAGTGACAGCCAGCTCCCAGTCAGGTAAGGCCCACCGCCCAGATGCTGGGAGGCAGGAACATGGCGGCAGGTCTGCTGTGTCTGAAACCCAGTGGGCCCGGAAGGCCCTGGGGGCTTGGCCAGAGACGTCACGAAGCACACAGCCTCACCTCCTCGGGTGGCGTGGACGCGTGGTGTGCCCCTCCTGCCCTGGCTGGTCATGCACCCCGCATGCACGCTGTAGCCCAGGCCTAAGTCTGGAGATTCTCTCCCAGGAGACCCCCGACACTTGGAGGTGTCGGCAGGCTCCCGGACGGAGAACCTCGGGGAAAGCCGTGGCGTCCTCGCCCGTTCACTGGGTGGGTAGCTGCAAAGCGCCTCCTCCGTGCCAAGCACCTGGCACCGAGGAAGAGCCAGGGCGAGAGACACACGGTCCCTGCCCTCTGGACAGGGGTTCCCGGGGGAGTCAGAAAAGCAGCAGGTCCGGCCAAGCAGGGTGAGAGCCGCGGAGCAGGGGCCCGCCGAGCATGAGGCCGGTCCCGTGGAAGCAGGAGAGCGGTGGAGGGGGAGGAGGGGAGGCAGCCAGCCACAGCAGGAAGCATCCCTGCGCTCATGGCCGGAGAGAGTCCTAGAGCCACCATCTCCCTGCTGCGTTGGCTCCTCAGCCTGTACCTGGGCACTCTGCCACACGGCTGGCTGGCTCCCTCTAGACCGACAAGCAGAGCCAGTCCCAGACCAGGAGCATGGACGCCCCTCTCGGGGCACAGCACCCCAAGTCTGCTCGGCACGGGGCATGTTCCAGGAGGGGCGGCAGAGAAGGCTGCCACCCACACACTGCGGCCCCAGACCCGAGGGCGCCCCGCCCAAAGGGCAGAGTTCTCTCACTTTTCAGCCGCTCCTCCCAAGAGAGCTGCTCCAGCATCTCTGAAGATGGAGGAGTCAGCATAGGTTGGGAGGAAGACCATCAGCGGGGCGGCCCCGGGAGGCCGGGAGACAGCTTGGGAGGAGACGCTGGACCCCAAGGCAGAACGGGGCAACCCCATGTTGCACCAGCAGCCAGCGAGATTCCTAATCCGAGAGCTCGAGTGCTCACCAGCTCTGAGATTTCAGACAGAGCCACCCGGCTGCCCCGGGCTGAGGGTTCCTGGGACGCGGGACCTTCAGTGCCCAAGCCAGGAAAGTCCCAGCAAGCCAACGAGGCTCCCCGAGCGGGGCAGCGTGGATTCATCTCAGGGTGCGTGTGGCGTCTGTTCCAGTGTCGGGCACCTACGAGGCGACAGCCCTGGACGCCCACGCCCCCTCCCACGTGTGGTCCTCCACCCTGCCCGCGGGGTCCTCACTGGGGGCCTACAACAACATGACGGCCCAGAACACAGCGCTCCTCAACACCAACGCCTACTCCACAGGCTCAGGTACTCGTGGCCGCACCCCCTCGCCAGCCGTGCGCCCTCGCCCCGGCGCAGCGCCACCCTGGACGTGAGCACCCCAGGGCTTCCCAGGGAGGCTCCCTGCAGCCGCGCGTGGCAGCCTCAGTTCATCCCGGTCTCTGGGCTTCTGGGGGGAGGCTTCCTGTGGCCAAGCGAGCCAGCCTATTTTCAGGCTCGAGGGTGGCTCTTCTCACGGGCCCCTGCATGTGTGTGCGGCCCAGGGTGTGGGAGACTCTGTGGAAAGGACCCTGACGTGGATGCCAGAGACCCGCTTCACCCCCTGCGAGGTGACTGTGCGTCCTGGAGCTTGACTCCTCTGAGCTTCAGGGGCCGTCTCTGAGAAACGGGGTCACTCACAAGAGGGCTGGGGCTGGACCTCTGTCCCCGCCGGTCTGACCGCCCTGAGATCGCAGGCCAGTGTTTGGGTCTCTGCCGCCAGGCAAGGGTCCGGGTTTCCCTAAAAACAAAAATGCATCGAAACATAAAAACCCAATCCCGGCATCTCGGCGCTCCCGCAGCACCTGAGTCTGTCCTGCCAGGGCCGGGCACCCGTCTCACGACCTTCCTCCCCGCTCTGCAGTCTTTGGCGTTCCGAACAACATGGCGTCCCGCTCACCCACCCTGCACCCGGGGCTCAGCACTTGCTCCTCAGGTCAGTGTCGCTGTCTGGAGTCGCCTCTTTGGGGCTGTTTGGCTTTGAAACGTGGGGTGGCTCTCCGTGAGGGAACTGGGCCCGCTCCTGGAGAAGACGCTCTTTGACCCGGGAGTGTGACGGATGCTCCTCTGTGGCCTGAACAGAGGCCACTCAGGGCCTGCCCGCAATCACAGAGAGGACGCAGGCCTCGGGGGAAGTCCTCAGAGGACCCCGCGCCCGCGCCGACATGCGTGCTCTGAGCTGGGGCCCGGATATTCTGGGAGAGTCGGGGAAACGGAGGCAAAGGGGCTGAGGGAGTCTAGTTCGGGACAGACGCAGGAAGAGAAGCACGGCAAGCTCAGAAGGGTGCATCTCAGGTCTGTCAGCCCACTGGGGCAGCTGCCTTCAGGCCTTTTGCAAACACAGCTCCTTGGAGTAACCACACAGGGCAAACTCCGTCCCAGCTGAGCTTCCAGTGCAAACTTACGATGGCGAGCCACGCTTCCACACACGTCCCAAGAGCCCGTGTGCGGGGACCTGGTCCTTGCCAGGGAATCTGCCTCCTCCCCGGGGCTGTGACCACCACCCGAAGGGCCGCGGCCTCGCTCGTCTGCTTGGCCGACCGCGGCCACACACACCGTGCTTGGACCTCCACCGGCTTCCTCCAGCTCGCAGAGTCCCTCCAGGCCGAAGACACCGGCTCCGTGCTGTGCTCCCCATCTTCGCCGTTTTGCTCTGCAAAGTCCTGGCAGAACCAGGCCCCGAGGGAAGACGGGCTGATACCGAACCCCTCATCTTGTGCCCAAACACTAGGTGGGACTCACAGGAGCTGGTGGCTAGGGAGGAACGAGCTGCAGCACGTTGTCAAAATCAGACGCACAGGCCAGGTGTGGTGACTCAGCCTGCCATCCCAGCACTTTGGGAGGCCGAGGCAAGAGGACTGCCTGAGCCTGGGGTTTGAGACCAGCCCGGAGACTTGGCGAGACCTCGTCTCTACAATAAGTCACAAAAACTAGCCGGGCGTGGTGGCGTGCGTCTGTAGTTCCAGCTACTTGGAAGGCTGAGGCAGAGGATCGCCGGAGCCCAGCAGGTCGAGGCTGCCTGCGGTGGCCAGGAGCGTGCCCCTGCCCTCCAGCCTGGGCGACAGAGTGAGACTCTGACCCACAAAACAAACAAACAAGCTCTCAAGCCATCAAGGTGCCCTGGAAACCACAGAGGTGGTGAGGGGAGCTGTGTTGGCATCAAGAGAAGGAGGGCTGCAGGGAAAACAAAGCGTCCGCGCAGTCGGGGCTTCTCGGTGCCCACGTGTCCTACCCTGTGCCCATTTCCACACTGCGCGCCGAGGCTCCATGGGGCGCCACAGGGAACAAGACCCCTGCAGTGCAGGCCAGCCTTGAAAGATGGTGGCGCGCCACCTCTGACGGGCCCTATCGGGCCCTGTGTGCGCTCATGCCTCTAAGTTGTGAGGACTTCCCGCTCCATCAACGGGACTCCCGGTGGGTCTCGGTCTGGGGCAGGCGGGTGTCGGCATGGAGCGTCGGCCGCGCCACTGAGCGTGCGAACCGAGCCGGTGTGGGCGTCTGTGTCACCGGCCAAGGCACTGGCTGGGAACGCCTGGGGCTCAGGGGCTGCCCTCGGCGGGGGGCGTCCCTTGCCCCGCACGCCCACCCACCCTCGTCGCCTTCACAGTGTTTGGCATGCAGAACAACCTGGCTCCCAGCTCGGCCACCCTGACCCACGGCACGGCCGCCGCGTCCACAGGTCGGTAGCAGGGCTTGGGGCTCAAGGGCTGGGCCACCTCTGCAGCCACAACTCACAAAACCCCTTTCCAGCGGGCGGGCCACAAGGACCCACAAGCCCTGAAAAGTGGGCGTTCTTTCCCACCAAAGCGGCAGCACCCCAACCCTGCCCAGATAGCGTCCAGGTCAGACCGAGTCAGGCCACGGGGAGGCCGTCCTGTCAACACACCCGCCCCGTGTGGCTCCGCGCTCCCGCATCTCTCCCAGCCGGGCCGGCCAGTTGGGGGGTCTCACCAGCCCGCTGCTGTCCCTGGCAGCCGGTTGCCACCGCAAGTCGTATGGCACACCTTCAGGGAGCGGTCCTTGCCAGCCAGGGCCGGGCACCCAAGAGACCCGAGTCCCAGCCATCATCCTGCCTGCTGGGTAGCCGGACTGGAAAGTCTGACACCCAAGAACCCATGAGGCAACGAGGGGCCCTATGGGATAACAGCAACTGAGCTATGCACTGTGCAGAGCCGATGGCAAGGGCGCAGGAACTCAGAAGGAAGGAGACATGCAAGGAGGGTCCAGGAGGACTTCCTGGAGGTGGCCTCTGGAAAGGTCCCAGAAGGATGGGGAGGGCTACACCCAGGACCGTTCTGCTTAAACCTCATCGCTGCTGGAGGCAGTTGACTCATGGCCCGCGCTCACCTGGGGGTCTCTCTGCCAGGGCTGCTGGCTACTCCTGGGGCCCCATGCTGGCCTGGCTCACGTGTGCTTCCTCTCTCACAGCCTATGGCGTGAAGAAAAACATGCCGCAGAGCCCTGCCGTGGTGAACTCTGGTGTGTCCAGCTCGGCCGGTGAGTGCCACGCCCAGCTCCGGTCAGGCGGGTGCAGCAGAATCACTCTGTGTGATGCACCCACATTGGAAGAAGGAAGAGGACCCCCGGGTGGCCTTGGGTCTGCAAACGCAGCTCACCCTGAGGGCCCCTGGATGTGTCTGTGGGTGAGCAGAAATGCGATCCCCTGCACCTCTGCGGGTCAGCAAATGCAGCTCACACCCCAGACACCACCTTGTCCACACACTCTTGGCCTTGCCTGGTTCCGCGTGGCCCGTACAAGAGCAGGGAGCCCTTCAGAAGCTGCCAGCACCCGCCCTGCTTTCAGCGGGCGCCGTGTCGGCTTGGCCCACGCGCACTGTCGGCCCTCGGAGAGCGGCCTCCCCACTGCTCTGGTGCTGGTGTTTCCTTCCGCTTGGCATTCGTTCATTCAAGTTGCGTTGGCATCAGACACTGTTCTAAGTGCTGGGCATACAGCAGGAAACAAGACAGGCTAGATCCCGGCCCTCACCAAGCTGACAGTGTCAGTGCAGGCAGCAGATGACAAACACGTAGACAAAGTATATGGGAAAGTTACAGAGAAGGATACAGACCTTAACAAGCAGTGTGGCAGAGACAGGAGTGGGGGGGGAGTCAGGAAAAGCCTCCCCAAGAAGGAACACTCACGGCCTGGAGGGCAAAATGAACCCAGTCCGTCAAGGAAGGACCTGCCCGGCTGGGGGACCCCTACCCCTGCAGGAAAGGCCCTGTCGTCTCCAGGTGGGTGGCAGCTTCGCAAGCCAGCCACCAGTGCCTCTGCCGTCGGCGCAGCGCTTGGCGGCCAGGCCCAGCCAGGCCGGGGCGTCCTCGGTCCCCCAGATGGCTCACAGCAACCACCGGTGGAAGAACAGGAGGCCCTGACCCCCTGCTCGCCTCGTGGTCCCCTTCCTCCTCCTCATCCTTCTCCATCCTCTTCCGGTCGCGCCCTCCCTCGCGCTCCTCCTGACACCTTCTCAAACGCCCTCCTGGCCCGCTCCCTTCCTCCCCAGCCTGCACCGCGAGTGTCCAGAGCGACGACTTCCTGCACAAGGACTGCAAGTTCCTCATCCTGGAGAAAGACCACGTGCCCGCCAAGAAGGAGATGGAGCTGCTCATCATGACCAAGGACAGCGGGAAGGTCTTCACGGCCTCCCCCGCCAGCGTTGCTGCAAGTACGCCAGGGCTTGCGCCGGAAGAACGGCGAAGCGTGCGGGAGACCCCTGCCTCGCGGGGTGGCGGGAGCCTTTTCGTCAGGAAACCGCAGCCGTCCCGGTCTAGGGAGAAACGTCCCTGGACCGGGGTGCGGGCTCTGCCTTGAATGCAGACGAGCCGGGAGGATGCGGGCAAGAGCGACAGCAAGTCTCCCCACAAGCACAGATTGGGGAGCTCAGCCCCAGGGACGCGGGGCTCCCTTCTTACCAGGCCAGGCTTCACCTTCCCGAGCGGGGTGGGGATTGGGACAGAGCTGGGAGGCTGAGGAGAGAATATGCTGACTGTCATGGGGTCTGTGCGCAGCTTCCTTTTCAGAAGACACCCTGAAGAAGGAAAAACAAGCTGCCTACAGTGCTGACTCCAGCCTGAAAGCGGAAGTGAATGGTAAGAACCAGGGCGACGGCTGTCCACCTTCACGCAGCCACATGCGTTCGCCTCCTTGTCCTCTGAGCCCTTGCTACTTGCGGCCACATGGTCCATCCACCCACACATGGGCAGCACCTGGGAGGGTGTGAGAAGTGCAGAAGCCCAGGCTTGGCTCGGACTCCAGAGTCAGAAGCTGCATTGTAGCAAGGCGACGTGTGGGTGCGGGTTACGGAAGCAGAAGCCGTCCTCTGGAGTGTCTAGGATGAAGCTATCTTCCTGCCTTACGAGTTCTCCCATGATTTTCAGAACTGGCAGAAAAATGCTTTGCAGAGCATCTGTTTGCTTGACCTCTTTCGCTTCCCAAAAATCTGGATGCTTTCTTGGATAACCCCATGCCTTCAGGAAGCCCCATAGGACTCTCTCCAAACCTCGAATTTCAGGGTGGTCAGCAAAGGAAGGGAAGTTAAGGCACTGAACGGTGCAAATTAAATTGCCCACCACCTTGATGAGGCAGGCGATGGAAGCATGACTCTAAGTCTTCAAAGCCAGTGGTTCCTTACACTTAGGGTGGAGCTGGGGCCGTGGAGCCGACAGACCCTTTTCAGATTCCGGGGAAACCTGGACAGAGTCCCCAGAAAACCCGCGCATGCCCACCAGCGCTCACTTCCCAAGCGGCATCAGGGACTCACAACCAGCCAACCACCCCCAAACCCATCTTGCCATCCCAGCTCTCGCCACCCGGTCAGAAGCCTGTGTTCAGAGCCTCAGGACCGGGAAGGCGGCTCACGGGAAGCCTTCTCACAAGCACCTCCACGGTGTGAATGCCAAGGGCCCCCCTCACGGTCTTCCACAAACGTTTTGAGAGTCAGAGGCTTAAGGTGCCCAGGGGGTAAAGCACCATGCTTCCGGGCCACCACTGTGTGCCAAGCCATGTCTTCATCGACGTGACGGTTGCAAGTGTCAGATCCGTGGGGGCAGAGTCACTGGACGCCCGTGCGCAGGCTGCAAGGCGCCGGGGGCATGCTGACCAGAGCCAGCCCCAAAGCCAACGCAGGGACAGTCAGCTCAGGCCAACCCTGTGCTCGTGGTGCTGTCCTTCCAGGAGACCTGAAGACGGTGTCCACGAAAGGAAAGGCTGCGTATGCAGGTGGGCAGAAGGGCGGCGGCAGCAGGATCCGGGGCCGCTTGTGGCCACGCGCCAGACGGTGGCCTGGCCGGAGCCCGGGCCCACACGGTGCCCCTGGCCCTGGGGTTTCCCACAGGGCGG